CCTGGTGTTCGTCGTGCGGTATGTATAATTTTATATTACAGGGTAAATTACAATCACCCATGAGGTACGGTTAATTTACGAAAAAAATGTACTTGTTTGGATAATTATATCTACCTTTCTCACCTATGATTTTTTTCTTACACCTCCATCTTTATGGTGCCAAATTCAACATAATCATCTAAATTTCATAGAATATGCTCTAGTTTGTACTCGTTTTGTGTAAAATACAGCTGATACACCACAATCTGATATATACAAGCGAAAAAACACATATTATAATTATCTTGATTCAAAATGTAAAGTTCGAATGGAAGAAAATGGTACAAAAGTGATAATGTTCCATATAATCTCGAAGATTCCACTAAATTTGAAACCGCAAGAATGGACGTGTAAGAAATTTTATAGTTGATGGGTGATTGTAATTATCCAAATAAGAGGGGTAATTTGACTATACCTCAAGAGTGGTTGAAATTTATCCTTGTATGTATATGAATATGCATCCACGTTGAAAATAAATAAATTATTATTATTATTATTATTATTATTATTATTATTATTATTATTATTATTATTATTCCATCACGTTTTCAAAATTTGACAGCATATATATATGAACATGTGAAAACCGAGGAGGGTTTAGACAAATAAATCAACCCCTTGGGTTGAGGTGTTGGTCCCAAACCATGAAGCATCTATTTCCATAGGAAATATAATTCAATGAAAATGAAAATTTGTCAACTCAAAGAATTAAAAACTCTGAAAATTAAAAGGAGAGATACGGTGATCAATTAATATATAGTGTGATCCGATTTTCCATGGTGTGTAAAGTTTGAATAGTAGCTATCATCAATTACTAGTGGTGAGTGGTCACTGCTTGCTGAATGAATTAATGGATTCATGAATACATTATTATAAGTATGAATTCTTGAAAAAATTAAAGAAGTGTTCTTGGTATGAATATATATTACAAAGAATGGATATATATATATATATATATATATATATATATATATGATGATATTGAAAAGTGAAAACCCTGATCAAGTTACATTAATATTAACTTTAACCCCCTGATCACGAACTAATTGGAATATGAATAAAAATCCAAAAAGAAGGAATACAAAGATGAAAAAGTTAAAATTAACCCCCTGTATCTGTATGTCCCTTTCTTCACAAATTCTACGGATATAACTACCTATTTTAAACAAACCAACAAAAAACAAAGAAAATAAAATTAAAGGATAAATATATGTATATTTATTTTGTAGCTAGTTATGAATAAAAATAAAATAGAAAGTTGCATGTTTTAAATGAAGTGGTTATTGGTGGTGAAGTTGAATTGTTGTTGTTCATGTAAGAACCAGATGTCATCAACATTATTCCACAAATCGTCAGATAATGCGTCGACAGCTCCACCGTCCATCCATAATTGGCTGCTGCTATTCTGCTCCGTACTTAAATCCAACCCACCACCTAATTGTTGGTTAAAGTAACCGGCCGTCGTCGGGCTGATTATTAAGGACGACGACGACTGATATTGATGATGATATTGATCATTATTATCAGAGTAGAGCTGATGATTATCAGCATCAATATTATTCGCTACTGGATAATATTCTTGATTAATATTATGTCCCTGCTGCTGGTGCTGGTGGTGGTTTATTGGATAATTGTTATAACAGTGATCAGCGGTGAGGTCAGACGCCGGCGTTCCAAAGGAGTCGGACGAATTTTCGGGAGTGTAATTAGTGTGAACAGTAGCGGCGGAGATGTTTGGTTGTTGATGATGAGGAATGTTTTGATCGGTGGTGGTGGTGGAGGAGGAGGAGGAAGGCAGCGAGGTGTTATTGGCTTGGGCTTGGGATTGGATTCTCTCGACCAAACGAGGCATCCAAAGGTAGCGCATGGTGTCCTTAAATTGCTTGCTGTTGACGTCACATTTGAGCTGCTTAGCATGTTTCTGTACTCTTGTTCTCCAGTAGTTCTTTATCTCGTTGTCCGTTCTCCCTGGCAGATGCTGTGCTATTTTCGACCACCTATATTTTTTTTTTATTATACAAATTCTTCATCAATATATATAATATATATGATTTTATTATTATACTAATTATTAATTAAAATGAATAATTAGTACCTGTTGCCCCATCTGGAATGGAGTTCTAGAATGAGAAGCTGTTCTTCAAGGGTGATGTTGCCACGTCGGACGTCTGGTCGGAGATAGTTGAGCCACCTCAACCTGCAGCTCTTTCCGGTTCTCTTCAGACCGGCGCATCTAGCAAGAGAGTTCCACCTCCCTTCTCCGTGATGTGCTATGTAGTTTATCAGTGTCAAGTCTTCTTCTACCGTCCACGGCCCTCTTCTCACCTCCTCCATCATCATTTCTTCTTCACTATTCGAATTCATGCTCATGCTCATGCTTGCGGTGGCGCCCTGGTGGTGCTGCTGGTGCTCCATCGTCGTCTCGAATTCCTTTTCTTCTTCTTCTTCCTTCTTCTTTCAATACAGATTAACCCTAGATATAATTATATGTATATATGGAAATTGATTGATTGAATGACTGACACACACAAGAAATTGGTTGGATGATTGATTGAGATGATCAGAGGTATCTTTCTTCTTCTTCTTTTTTGTTTTTCTTTTATTTCTAGAGAGAGAGAGATAGATAGATGAAATGTATTGGAGTTGGATGAAGAGGGAAGGTGGGGGCTATATATAGATGATGGAATATTATGTGAGAGCCTTTTAATTTATTGTTAAAAATAATGGGAAAAATAAAGGGAAAAAAAAAGAAAAAGAAAAGGTGGGATGTGAGAGAGGGGAAGTGGTAACAAAGCCGCAATTGGGACTTGCTTTTTAATTATTTCTATTAAATACAATTAATTAAGCACACACACTTTAAACTCTGGAATTTAGTAGTGTATAATTTAATATTAGTTAAACGAGGGCGGGGCTTTGAAGTTTGACACTTTGACTTTCTTATTTCCCAGTGTGTGGAAAATGGATTTACGGAGTAATATATCTTCTTCTTCTTTTTTTTTTAATTCTTTTAATTAATTAATTAATTAATCCCATCCCCCACTTGTTTGTCCAATCAATCAACTTGTCATGGAATTTTTTTACTCCGTCACTTCTCATCCTCTATTATTTGTTGCTATATTTCCACAATCAATACACAAACCACACTATCCATAAAACAAAATTGATCAATAATTTTACTTCAATATATTTTCTTCCATTCTCTTAGCTTAGAGATAGGAAATTCAGAAAGGGTGTTTGTTATTCTCTCTTTAATTTGGGCAAACAAAAAGTATGGCTGCTCAATACGTCTATGTACAGTACTTAATTTTGAACAAGAATAAATTAAGGGTTTTATATAGATCAGAGGTATTATTAATATAATACATAGGCTACTGTTAGGCTTTAAATAATTAATATTTATAATAAATCTAGATAGCATATATAATGTAGAAGTGCATTGAATATTATATTGTGACAATAAATCGATGGATGCCCTCATTTTGGTTCCGATAATTCAATTAATTGCGAACTATTGCTATTCTATCTATCAGTTAGTTTAGCTTGAGATCGTGTAACATGAACTAATACATCACATAAATTGAATCCACGACAATTAAAATAATTCAATAAAGAGGAGGGAGAGTCATTATTTCGATATCATATATAATTATGCGCGCTAATTAGCAAACACGTTATTGGTTGAGTAATTCAATGGCCAAGGAAAGAACAGAGGGAACTAAACCGACATATAACTGCAAAAATACGAAGACAAAATTGAATATACGTAGATGGCATTTTGTGCAACGTCGTCACCCAAATTGTGATCGATCATATAGCCTGCTCTATTTATCAGACTTTTTTGATGATCTTTTTTAGGCTAGCTATAGCAGTTTAAATAGGGATATTAATTAATTCGAGAGGCTTAAGTCTTAACCACATGAATTAGTAACAAGTAGCTAGTAGTAGCAGTTTGGATGGTTAACACAGAATTTCAAAATTTCTCATGATTTAAATATCTTTCAAATAAATTTGGATACAATTATAACATCCTATACAGTATACACTCATCAAACACCTACTCGTTTGTCGTTATCTGATCGATAAGCATTCGTTCGGGAAGATAAAGAAAGAAGATGAGAGTCCCTCTCATATATATATATATATATATATATATATATATATATATATATACTATTCTATTAATTAATTAATATATAAAATGAAAATCTAGAAGGGATTACATACAGTGGCATGTATATATATATTGATCACGCGTTTATGTGAATTAAAATAATGCCTATTACTGCAAATGCAAATGCAAATGTATGTACTACTAAGATATAAATATATTATGGAATTATCAATATTATAGTACAATTAATTAGTTCGTGTTTTTTCTTTTTGTCTCCTATGGACTTGTGTGGTAGGGAACATCCTTCTTTTTATTTATTCTGATTTAATTCTCACCTAAATATGATTTCATACAAAAAAGTGCTCTCTTTAATTTGGGGGCTATGGTTAGTGGGGTTAATTATATCCAAAAGCATATATACAAATAAAGAATTAATGGAATCCAGTGCTAAATGCTAATTGTAGGAAATATAAAAGATGCTTAATTTAACCAAATGATCAAATCTCTCCATACATACATGCATGAATTTGTTTCTGGCCACAAATTAAATTGTGTATTAGCTAGTAATTGGATGAATTAATTTGAAGCTGATAAGTCTTACTTATTGTGGTTAAGGAATCAAATTTGGTTTGCTCATCAGCATAAGCGTTTAAACTTGTTTAAGAATTAACTTATGCATATTTTAATTAATGAATAGCTTTCTGCGCTTTGGAATTCATTTAGGACAATTGTAGTAGAAATGAGTGGTCCAATTTCTTTCGTCGTCGTCGTAAAATATAAATATATATGCAGTGTGAAGTTTGGTAATAGTGTTTTGTTTATTCATGGATTCATATTATTATGTGTAAATACAAGTTATTGCTCACCCTATGAGAGCTAGCAAGGTAGCATATATATATCGCAGCAAATAAGAATTAATACAGTACAGAAGAAGGCAGTTATATATGTTGTAGCATGCATCAGGAAAGAAATTGCTAGAAGAATATATATCTGTATATATATATATATATATATATATATATATATATATATATATATATATATATATATATATATATATATATATATATATATATATATATATATATATATATATATATATATATATGTATATGTATATATAT